AGTGACTAAATCAGAATCCCTGGGTGATAGGATCCAGGTGTCCCTATTTACAAGCACCTTGGGTGGTTAAGATGAACCCCCCATCCTTTGGGAAGCTCTGGACAAAGGGATCTCCCACAATAGCACATGAGAGAACAGACCAGAAAACCTTGCCAGCATTTGATAGCCTCCAAGTTGCACGTTTAGCCTCCTCTGGGAGCCATCACTCTTCCTACATCTCCCTTCAACATCTGGAACTTCCCTTGACCTCTAGCAGTGACTCCCTCCTCCCTCCAGCCAAGCTGCCTCCCTGACAGGGAAGCCCCTTTATAACTCATCTGCTGCAGGGCTGTACCCCCACCCATTGCTGCCTCACCTGATGGTTGTGATCTGGCCCAGGTTGAGCTCGTAGTTGTTGACCTGGGCAATGAAGATGGCGGCCAGGGCCTCGTAGAGGGCGGTGCCATCCATGTTCACAGTGGCCCCCACAGGCAGCACAAACCTTGTGATGCGGCGGTCCACACCCAGGCCCTCCTCCAGGCAGCGAAAGGTGATAGGTAGTGTCGCCGAGCTGGGGGAGAAAGCCCCAGGACTGAGACCAGGGAGTGTCAGGGCAGGGCTAGGGCAGCCTTAGGGCAAATGAGGGGGGAATGTGTGATTTAGGGCACAGGAAGGTGGGAAGGGGCATCACATTTCAAGACAGAACCGTGGCAGGGGGGGGATTCCTCATGACCAGGCACACCCAGCAATGGGGATCCCCCAGGCTGGAGGTCTCTCCACCCACTTAAAGCCAATTACTAGAAAACAGTCATGCCACTAGTTCACACTGACTTTCTACTCTTGGAAAAGATGAAGGGTGTCCTAATCTCCCACCCCTTGAGGCTAAGAGAGAGGTGGTATAGAAGAGCCCTACTTGCTACTCCTGATGTCACTGCAGCAACCTGTTACACTAACCTTCTCAGCCTCTGTCTCCACCAATTCCCAGGGGGGAGGAGTGACCTAATTGATTGCTGAGTTTAGTGGGCATCTCTTTGGGAGTCAGCCTGGCCACAAGACATGTTTTCTGATCAGCTTCATGCCATGGAGTGAGATGCCTGGACCCACAGAGAGGATCTTGCTACATGCAGCTCTGCCATGATCATACAACTTTGACTCTGGAGTGCAGAGGTATCAATCTGACTTGGCCACATCAAAAGGAAAGCTGTCCAATCAGCATTATAAGTAGTCAGAGGATATTTTTTCTCCATCTGCTTGGCCCTTGTGATACCTCTCAAATTATTTTGAATTTGGATGAGGAAAGGAATGCCCTTTACTGACCCCCTAAAATTACAAAAAAGGAGAAGACAAAGGGGATGCCAGAGATCATCTCAAGGAGGAAAGGAGAACTTCTGGGCTAGAACTTGAGAACACGGGGCTTTGTGGAACCTTTGTTCTAACCTCAAACCTTGGACCTGGTTCTCCTCCATATAAAATGGGGAAACAGGAAGAAGAATCAGGGCCAGGAGAGTCAGCCTCGGACAAAGACCAGCCCCCTGGAGAATTTTCAGGAGCCCCTGGCATTACTGCGCAACTCAGAAGAGATGTCTGTGGTGGAAGTAAGGGAAGGACTCCTAGGAGAGCCCAGGAAAGACCAGGAATAACCCAGGGAGGGCATTAGTGATGGTAAATAGGGTCATACCTGGAAGACGTGCCCATGGCAGTGATGAGTGCCTGCAGCAAGCCCCCAATGAAGGGGAAGGGATTCCGGTGGGTGATGAGGAAGTAGATGAGGGGGAGGACACCACCAGCATGGAGGAATAAGCCTACGATGACCGTCAGGGTGTACATGCCCAGCTGACCCCCCAGGACAGCCATGTCTTCCATCTCCAGGATCTTCCCAGCAATCAGGAAGAGGATGCCCACAGGTGCATACCTGGACCAAGCCAGACACCTGGTAAGGCTCCCTCCTGACCCCCCTACAGGAGGAGGTGGCAACCTCAAATTTGTGCATCACACTTGCCCATGTGGAGCCCTAGAGCCAGGCAATGCCCCACATACCAGCCCTCTACTCCACCCTAGCCTTTCCCACACATTAATAAATGGGCTGGAATCCACAAATGCATCCCACCTCCAACTCCTGCCACTCACCCACAGCTTCACCCAGAACAGAATAGTTCCTACAGTTTCAGACTGACTGTGTGTCTCTCCCTCTTCTACTCCTCCATTTGAGTACCTTCCCCCAAATAATCATTCTCTTCAGGACCGCTTGCTAGACAGACATTGGCCATTTATCATTTATGGCCTTCTAACTTCCCTTATGCACTGCCTTCAACTCTTTGCCCCACATTTGTGACTTTTATGCTCCTTTTCTCTTTCTTATAAGCTCATGTCCTTCCTCACTCACCATACCTCAGCTGTTTCATCTGGATTTCCCACTGGCATCTCAAGCAACCCACCCTAAATCAGAATCATTTATTTATTCCTTCATTCAACAGATATTTATTGAGCACCTATTATGTTCCAGGCACATGGTCCCTGCCCTCATGGAGCTTACATTCTAGTAGAAGATACAGGTGGGAAATATAGGAACATATCATTAAGAACTTTAGCTGGTGTTAACTGCTGTGATGGTTGCATGAGTGGGTGAGGCTACTTCAGAGTAGCTGAGCCTCTCAGAAGAGGTGACACTGAAGCTGAGACCTAAATGATGTATATCTGGAGAAGGGGGAAGTATTGCAGGCAGAGTAGATATGAGATGGGCATGAACTTGGAGTATTGTAGGAGCAGAGAGAAGACCAGTGCGGCTTGAGCAGTGCATGAAAGGGGGAGTAGCATATACAAAAAAAGTGAGTTAACTGAGGTCCCACCTGTGTTCCCCACAAACCAGCCTGTTCCTTGGTCTTGTGAGTTTCTGTGAGTGGCTCCATCATTCTCCCACCACTCATGCTTCAACTGTTTCTCCTTTCCTTTCAGAAAATGAAGCTTGGTCATGCTTGTGGTGGATGGATTTTGAGAAGCTGGTGTAATAGCTTGGCTCAGACATAATGAGACCCCCATATAAGATGGTGGGAATGAGAACAAGGAGGGCTGCTCCAGTCACATTTGTGTTCCCAAGCTGGGCTCAGGGTTAGCCCTGAGGATTGTTTGATGCATTGATGAGATGCCTCCAAGTCAACGTGTCTAGACCGGCCTCTATGGTCACTCTGTGAATTAATCTCTCAAGTCCCTTGCCTCCATCCTTCCACCTAATCCTCTGCAAAAGTCCTCAACCCAGGATCAGTTTTCTGTGACTTCTTTACTTCTGTACTCAGACACCAAGAATATCCAGAGATTTTACCCAGCCATGCCGATGACCACTATAATTCATGGTTCCCAATTTCAGTCAAGCCTTCAATATTTCTACGCCTCTTTGCTTGCTTGTCTGATACCCTTCCCCTTCCATTTCCTTCACCCATTTTTCTAAGCTCCCATCTTAGCCTCAAGTCCCCTACACAACTTTCAAACTATATGGGATTGTGTTATTGTTGTTGTTATGTGCTGTCGAGTCGGACCCGACTCATAGCAACCCCTCCTTGGGTTTCCGAGGCAGTATCACTGGGCAATCACAGAAGTAGATTGCCCAACTTTCTTTCCGAGGAGTGGCTGGTGGTTTGAACCTCCAGCCTTCTGGTTAGCAGTCAAGTGCCTTAGGCACTATGCTGCCAGAGCTCCTGTATGGAATTATGTACATAGTTTTCCCCAACTGGTGCCAGCCAGCCTTGTCAGCATCTTCTCCCACCAGTCCCCAACATACCCTGTGTTCCTGCCTCCCCGAACATCCCGCCATTCTCCAAACAACTCAGGTTCTTTCAAGATTTGCACATTCTCATCCCTCTTTAAAGCACCTCTCCCCTTATATGGGCCTGTTGAACTGTTACTCACATTGCAAGGCCCAACTAAGAGGCGAACTTCTCAGTGACTTCCTCCTTACTTTCTAGGCACAGTTCACTGCTCAAATTTCCACATTCCCAACACTTCTTTTTCTAATGTCCCTTTTCTATAGAACCTATCATTATGTGTTCTATTTTTCTAGTATGTGTCTGTCTCCTGCAAGACTTTGAAAGCTGTCCAGTGAATTCAATCTCTCTATATTCCAGACTTGAAGACAAAGGGGAGAACAGCTGCTGAATGAGGGAAGAACTTGGTGAAGGAGTTAAAAAAAAATGAATCAATCAATTGAGGAATAATAAGTGAGCAGTAAATGAGTAAGACAAGGAACAACTGAGACATGACTGAGTGGGCAGGAAATGAATGAATGAACGTATAAGGAAATGAATGAATAAGTGAATGGATGAATGAATGAATATTTGAGTGAGTGAATGAGAGATGAATAAGTGGGTCAATGAATGAGTGGATGAAAAAGCAAATCAATCAATAGTTCAATTATTCATGGGTGAGTCATGAATAAATATTTTAGCTCATGAATGAATTTGTGAGAAAATGAATATATGAATGACTAAATTGGCCAATGGATAGAAGGATGAGTGAGTGCATCAACCAATGAAGAATGAGTATAAATGGAAAAAGTGAGTAATGAATGATTCTCTTGAATGAGTGAACAAACAGATGAATGAGGGAATGAATAAGTGAATAAAACATTTCAGAGAATAAGGGAGTGGATGAGTGAGTGAGTAAATGAATGAACTAATAGATGAATGACTGTGACCACATGTCCCCAATAAGCCCTGAGCAGCTTTCCCCAGTCTTGACCTCCCAGCCCTGGTTTCACCCTTCCCAGGTGCTATTACTGCCCACCCTGGCACAGCCCAGCACTCACCAGATAATGATGCCCACCAGCCGCATAATAGCTTCATTGAGACTGTCGAAGAAGTCCCTCAGGACTCGGCCCTTATGCTTCATGCCACCGATGACAAGCCCAAAGGCCACAGAGAAGACCACGAGGCCCAGTGCATTGATGCCATTGGCTGAGCCAGGCACAGGCACGGTCTCCTCGAAGCTTAACACCTCATGTAGGGTGCCCAGGGCCCGTGTGACATTTTCCAGGAGGCTGGTCCCATTGTCCACTGAGAATGGAGGAGGCATGGAGGTGCCCGGCTCAGACCCGTTCTCTGTCCTCACAATGGTTCTGGTTACCACCCTTGTACTATATTGTGTCTTGAACTGAAATAAAGAGACATTGGCCCCAAACTCGGTTCTGAGGATGCATCAGAATCACCTGTAGAAATGTCTTTAGAACACCAATTCCTGGCTCCCACATGTTTATAGAATCTGACTCAATAGTCTGCAGCAGGCCCCCCAAATCTGCATTTCCCACTGCTCCCAGGCAATGCCTAGCCAGATTTAGGGGTCTCTCTGAATTCACGTGTGGGTGTCCCACTATCAGAATTGCTGGACTCTTGATCCCAGCCTTGGTGCCTTCTCCAGTCCCCTTGGCCCTCCTCTTAAACCCTCCCTCAATCATCACACCAATGAGAAATATCATCTTTCTCCCAGACTCTTCCAAAAGTCCCTCCACTTTGCTCTGCCAGGCCTTTCTTCCCACCCTCCACCCTTGGACTGCCCATGCAGTAGAAGGTCCTCCCACTCTCCAAGTATCCTTGATGAAACTACACCTCCCCCTGACCTGTTTGAAGCAAGCCTCCACAAGGTTGGGTGGAAACATATTTCTGCAGAAAAACATCAAAGAGGGGAAGCTGTTAGGCTTTGGAAGGGAATGTTATAACAATAACAACAACATCAATAATAATATTGATGGCAGGCAATATTTGAAGCTTACTCTAGGCCAGGCACTGAGCTAAGTGCCTTATCTATATTATTTGATTTAAACAACCCTAAAGGTAATGTAAGGAGCTCTGGTAGTATAGTGCCTAAGGCACTTGACTGCTAACCAGAAGGCTGGCGGTTCAAACCCACCAGCCACTTCTTGGAAGGAAGGTAATTTCCGTAGTAATACTGTCTTGGAAACCCAAGGAGGGGTTACTATGAGTCAGATCCACGGCAGTGAGTAGTAGTAGTAGTAAAGGTAATGTGAGTGCCACTAGTGTCCCCATCTTACACACAAGAAACTAAAGCACAGAGAATTTATGTAAGTTATCCAAGGCCACACAGCTGCTAAGGGATGGAGATAGACCTCAAATCCCAGGTCTCTCTGAGCACCTTACCAGAAATCTTTGCCACCACAGGGATCCCTCATAAGTCCACACAGGCAGCTCCTGAACTTTTTCAACTCTAGGTATCCCCAAGTCAGGAACCAGGGCAGAAATATGGCTGGCCTTGATGCTATCTGACAAAACCCAGCTATTCTAAGCATATCATTTATCCTCCAAAGAAGCTTGGGAACACCAGGCAAATGCCACCTGTCCTGCCCTCATCCCAAGTTCCTGCAGCTAACTTCAGCAGAAGGGTCAAAAGACCATTTCCAAGGGGTCAGTGCTGTCACAGCATATGCACAGGGCTCTAGGGCAGAAACGCCACCAGAGCTCCCCCAGTAAAACTAACCAAACCAAAAACTAGGCATAAATTAATTAATTAGTTGATTAATTTTAAGACTAGGCTCAGCTTGGGGTACTGCCATCTCTACACTGTGTCACCTGCCTCCTTTATCTCTATGGATTGCATGGGTTGTTGCAGGACGGGCCGGAAACCCCAACAAACGTAGAAAGAACATCACCTGACCAGGTCCATAAAGGCATCAGCTGTGGGGATGGGCTCAATCCGGCCCTCACGGTGCAGCCCCTCCTTGGAGCCCTTCCCAGGATGGATGATGGTGACCATGAGGATGCCAATAAAAACGGCGATGACTGTGGTCACCATGTAGTACACAGCTGCCCTCATCCCCATCCTCCCTGTTGCCTTGTTGTCCAGAGATGCCATGCCTAGAGGACAGAGGGTGTGGCCCTGCACAGTCAGTCTACACCCCACCACCCATTCTCCCAAACATCCGCTCCTCCTTCCCCACAAACCAGCTCAACAGCCTGTCAGCAAGCACCCACTTCTCCTATACCCCCAGCCATGACCTTTTCATCCATACCCACACATGCATCTTCCATGCATATCATCACCCTTTAACCCTCATTATGTTCTCCATGTGCCCATCACACCCTATTCCATCTTCTCTCTCATCTTTATCCCAAGTATTACTCCTCTAGCCATACCTCCCTTCCTTCCCCACCAAGTTAACCCTATTAATCCCAATACCAGCTTCCATTTATCCCTACTTACCCCACAGCCTCATTTTCATTCCATTCTTCATCTCATTATCTACCCCAGCATCATACCTCCATTCAGCTCACTGGTACCCACCAGATGCCCTTCACCAATATACTTATCCTCCAGCTGCCATTGAGCATTGATTGCAAACAGTTCATGATGCCCTCTTTCCCTGAGAATTGCCCTTAGCAAAGTAGGAGCTGCCTTGCCAGAAATGTATGGGAGGCGATGCCTTCCTCTCAGGGAAGCCTATAGCCAATGACTGACTTATACAGGGCTGTGAAAGACCAGCTCATGGGGGGACAGTCTTGCCAGAGCTCCCCATGGGATCAGGCCAAGAAGCCAGACACCTTGTAAGCCTACATCTTTACTTAGCTTTTTTCTCAATTCTGTTCTACTTCCCTTACTCCCACGTGGGTTTTTCTTTCTTTCTTTCTTTCTTTTTAATGGGTTTTTCTTGAGAGCACTCTCTCAGTAAATCATTTGTGTAAATACCCCCACGACAGTCTCTGATTCTAGGAAACCCAACATAATAAACTATTCTTTCATGCCTTTATCTTCATCATAGTCCTCAAATCCAGGGATTAGCAAACTATGATCCACAGGCCAAATCCAGGCCACCTCCTGTTTTTGTAAGTAAGTTTGACTGGAACACAGCCACGCTCATTTATTTACATATTTCTGTGGCTGCTTTTGTGCTACCACAACAGATAAGCAGCTGCAGCAGAGACCATATGGCCCTTGAAGTTGAAAATGGTTACTAACTAGACCTTTACATAATCCATCCATCCCACCATCCCACTCTCCACCCACCATCCAGTCATCTCACTCTTACTCACTTTCCACAGCTTCATCCACATCCCACTCACTGACCATCCACACCATCTCCCACTGACTTTGCTGGTTGCCCCACTAGTCTTTCCTTCATCTCTGGATGTAACAGTGCTCTTGCAGGCTGGTGTTTCACCTCCAAAGAAGATGCATGGAAGTTATTGAGATAAGTGGTGCAGGTTATATGGCATCTGGGACCTAAGTGATTGGGACCCAGGCTTTGGTCAAGGACTCTGGGCTAGGTGCAGGCTACATGTTGGAGGTTCTGAGCTGGGGAGGACTACTATGCTTGTGGTGATGTTGGGTCTGGGTTCAAGGCTCATCTCTGGGATGGGTCCTGGAGGCCACCACTGGCCTAGGGCTCTCTCACCTGTGACCAAGCTGGAGACAATGAGGGGCAGCACCAACATCTGCAGCATCCTCATGAGCAGCTCTCCAGGGAATGAGAAGTACTTGATCTGGCGGTAGGTGAGTTGGTACGGACGCAGGGCAAAGGCCAGGCTGACCCCTAGGGTCAAAAGGAAGAGTTGGGGAAGTAGAGTTTGGGTCAAACCCCACCCCACCTCAGTCCTAGGCAAGGACAGTGTGGGTGGGTGGGTGTGAAAGAAATATTCTATGGGTGTGTGCCTCGGTGTGTACCTTGTATACATACATGATTGCACGTATAACCTTAGTGATATGTGTATAAACATATGCACACATTTTCACTGCCGTCGAGTGGGTCCCACCTCATAGTGACCCCTCCTTGGATTTCCGAGGCAGTATCTCTACAGAAGTAGATTGCCCAATCCACCTTCTGAGGAGGGCCTGGTGGGTTTCTAGTTAGCAGTCAAATGCCTTAGGCACTATGCCACCAGAGCTCCCATGCATACATTAGTGTGTGTATATAGGATGCATATATGACAGTGTATATTCATTTAAGGGCACATGAACCATTTACCTACAGGTCCACATAAGTATGCATATGTATTTTCCTGTGTGTATATAGGAGTGTCTTTGTGCATATGTATTACTGTTTTCAGCCACGGAGGTGTATATGTGCCCGGACATGTTTGCATATGAGTGTGTATTAAGCTCATAAGGATTAAACTGTGTCCTCCCCGCAACATGAACTGGAATTTTAACGCACACACCTGTGGATGTGAACCTGTTTGGAAATAGAGTTCTTTGTTAACTTGTTCAGACTGAAGTAGAGTGTTCTAAAAAAGGAGCCCTCATGGCACAGTGGTTAAAGCATTGGGCTGCTAATCAAAAGGTCAGTGGTTCAAAGCCACCAGCCACTCCCCTGCAGAAAGATGTGGCAACCTGCTTCATAAAGGAATACTATGGGACAATTCTACTCTATCCTGTGGGTTTGCCATGAGTCAGGATCGACTCAACAGCAATGGAAGTTATAGAAAGAGTAGATTAGACACTGAGATGCCCACACCTGGGGAGTGTAGAGGGAGCACGGAGGCATACGCTGTGTGAGGATTGTCTACAAGCCAAGGAACCAAGGAGTACATGCCCGGGTCTACGAACAAGGAAGGACTCAGCACTGGCAGAGACACAGATTAGGACTTTGAGTCTCCAGTCTAATTTCTGTTCTTGAAAGTCATCAACTTGTGTTTCTGTTACAGCAGGACAGGAAACTAAGACAGTATGGGTAAGAGAAAGACAGGAACAGTTTATGTACCTTGATACATGTGTACTTGGTATACATATTTGATTGAATGTATGACCTTATTGATTGTGTGTACACACATTTTTGTGTTGCATATACTGCTTATGACAGTGTACTTTCATTTCTAAGCATGGACATGTGCCTTTACACATGGGCCCACACACATGATTACGCACATGTATTTGCCTGTGTGTATATAAGAATGGCTTGCCTGCATATGTGTTATGGTGTTCAAACATGGGGTGTATGTGTGCCTGACATGTTTGTGTGTGAGTATGTAGTTAAGCTCATATGTGTGTGTGTACAAACATATAAATGTGCAATGTATCAATGTGTTCAGAAGATCTCAGTGTACACTTACATATGTGAGTTTATGTGCTTGCACCTGTGTTGTGCAAGCACAGAAACGTGTTAGTG